CTCCTAGAAGAAATAAAAGCAAGAATAAACCAATGGGACCTAATGAAACTTACAGGCTTCTGCACGGCAAAGGAAACCATAAGTAAAACAAAAAGACAACCTACGGAATGGGAGAAAATTTTTGCAAATAAAACCAACGAGGGCTTGATCTCCAGAATATATAAGCAGCTCATATGACTTAACAAGAAAGAAACAAACAACCCAGTCCAAAAATGGGCAGAAGACCTAAATAAGCAATTCTCCAAGGAAGACATATAAATGATCAATAGCCACAAGAAAAAATGCACAATATCACTAATTATCAGAGAAATGCAAATCAAAACTACCTCACACCAGTCAGAATGGCCATCATTCAAAAATCCACACACGACAAATGCTGGAGAAGCTGTGGAGAAAGGGGAACCCTCCTACACTGCTGGTGGGAATGCAGTTTGGTGCAGCCACTGTGGAAAACAGTATGGAGATTCCTCAAAAGACTAGGAATAGACTTACCATATGACCCAGGAATCCCGCTCCTGGGCATATATCCAGAAGGAACCCTACTTCAGGATGACACCTGCATCCCAATGTTCATAGCAGTACTATTTACAATAGTCAAGACATGGAGACAGCTTAAATGTCCATCAACAGATGACTGGATAAAGAAGATGTGGTGTATTTATACAATGGAATACTACTCAGCCATAAAAACCGACAACATTATGCCATTTGCAGCAACATGGTTGCTCCTGGAGAATGTTATTCTAAGTGAAGTAAGCCAGAAGGAGAAAGAGAAATACCATATGAGATTGCTCATATGTGCAATTAAAAAAAAACAAAACATAAATACAAGACAGAAACAGACCCATAGACATAGAATACAAACTTATGGTTGCCAAGGGGGCAGGGGGGGTGGGAAGGGACAGACTGGGATTTCAAAATTGTAGAATAGATAAACAAGATTCTACTGTATAGCACAGGGAAATATATACAAGATCTTATGGTAGCTCACAGAGAAAAAAATGTGACAATGAATATATGTATGTTCATGTATAACTGAAAAACTGTGCTCTACACATGAATTTGACGCAACATTGTAAAATGATTATAACTCAATAAAAAATGTTAAAAAAACTAAATGATTATCAGATCATATAGTTAGCTCTATGTTTATGCCATAGTGAAGGAAAAATTTAGCAGTGAATGAAGATTCATGAATGACGTTATCATACAAGACATATATGCAAATCATCACTTGCAAGGCATGTGCTCTTTTTATCAATTGAAATATTAGATTGTTGGTTTGATATCGGAAACAACATGAGTGGAAACAACATGATATGCAACAGATAGCTACTGCCTGACACTCATAATTATTATGTAAGATGCTCCTTAAATTTAAGACTGATGTAAACTTCACCATAATCAACACACTCAGCAGTTTTTCAATGGAGACACTCTTACTGCCTCTATTAAGTGCATCAGACACTCACAGTTAGAGAAAATCTTTCTATTCAAGCTGTTACCATTTGGACACACTTTCTGTACAGGATTAGATGATTTATGCAGATTCATCATACCCTTTATTTAAAAACCTGGAGGTATTAATTGTGTGCCTCTAGTAATTCTGAACATTGGGTCAGTGATTCCTATAAGGTAGACTCAACAGCTGATTGATTTTACAACTATATTTTTAAGCACTTTAAAAATCAGCTTTATCACTTGGATTCAGCCACAGCAATGGTTATCAGGGAGGATTACACTGAATTGCAGAGGAGCCCTTAGGAATTGGTGTAGGGTCTAAAAATCCATCTCCCTTTACCAGCTCAGCTTGTATCTCAGAATTACTCTACCTTCTCACATGGTGCTGGCACTGAATCAGGTCACTACACAGAAGATGGCCTTTTTCTGACATGATCACTTAGCCAGACTTTATCTGCCTTTCTCTTACAGGCTCTGCCACCCACCCTGATATACAACATGCTTACCTGACACCTTCCTGCTGCCAGGACAGAGGGCTCAGGGTTATGTCCTTGTAATTAGTATGTGTGGGAGGGAGGCAGACACACCTAGATATATGGGTTTGTGAGTCTGTGTCCTGATCTGCTCTCCCCTTAGAGCTGCAATTATCATTTCACCTGTAGCAGCAATGTGAGTGTAGGCTTGGGACCTGAGAACATTTCTGAAAACTTTTCTCACAGTTGTTAACTACAAAAAACAATTTTAAGTTTGTAGTGAGAGCCCTTAGAGGACAGCTGGAAAGCTTCCAAGAGCCTTTTTCTTTTCCATGATCCATCAAGACAGAGTCTCACAGGGAGAAGAAGGAAATGCTGAAATCACATACTTGAGCAACTGGCATAAATATGTGTATCCCTCTGGAATTATTCACTTCCCTGAGCTATTTCTCTACCTAAAGACAAGTACTTCCCTAATCTTCAGACAACTAAACTGATCTATTAATTAACATACTGGTAGAGAAGTGGAATGAGACAAAATACCTGGAAGTATATTCAATGTGATAGAAGTGAAAGGAGGAACATGATAAAGAACTCACAATAGAAATTGTTTCACATAACAAATCAACTAAGTTGGATTCATTTGCATCATTCTATACCAATTATTATGGATTTTGTAGGAAAACATATTCTACTATTATTGACCACCATTAAGTGATAAGATTTAGATGCAGAAAAAATAAACAGAAAAAAGGGAGAAGGTTCAAAAAGAGTGTCTCAAAAAATAAAAGCACCCAGATCTGAGGGCTTCACAGATTCTAATATTTACACAAATATCAGCTGAACCAATGCTCAATTACTTAATTCAATATGATCACACCGGGAGACTAAACACCAGGCTACAAAAATAATAGATCAAAAGAAATCAGAAAATGTCTTGAAACAATTAAAAATAAAAGCCAATTTTGCAAAATCCGTGGGACACAGCAAAAGCAATTCTAAGAGAGAAATTAACAGTGATAAAGGCCTACTTCAAGAAGCAAGAAAATCTCCAACAGACAACCTAACCTACCATCTAAAGGAATCAGAGAAAGAAGGACAAACGATGTCAAACTCAGACATAGAATGAAATGATAAAGTCAAACAGGAAATTTTTAAAAGCAGAGACTAAAAAACCCACAGTATGTCAACACAACCAAGAACTGGTTTTCTCAAAAGCTAAACAAAACTGATTATCCGTTAGGCAGACTTATCAAGAAGAAAAGAGAGAAGACCCATATAAACCAAATAAGACTTAGGAGAAATCACATCCCCTATCACAGAGGTACAAAAAAATCACTAGAGAATACTATCAACAGTTTTATGGCAACAAATTTTACAACCCA